ACGTTATTATCATTTTTTCACATAATTAATTGTTTAATATTGTATGATAATTTAAAACGTGTCAAAGTCGGTCCTTTTTATGATATAGATTTTGAATATTGTGAAATTGATAAGCGCACACTGATAGATAAAATCAAAACAAAAGTGGACCAATTAAAAACAAATTTTAACGGAATTTTTCCAATTTTCATTAATTTAAATGTTCTAATCCAATCGATCCATTATCATTGATAATATGTTATGATGGTACGCAACAAAACCTTTTTATGACGTAATGGATATTTAACGATAATGTTGATGATTCAATGTTACCTACATTCTCAAGAACTGACTAATTTTTTATTATTATTTAACCTTGTACCATTCATATTTTATTTTATTTTTTTACTTAACATCATTTACAGATGCAAAGTTCTTATTGTTGGTGGTGGTTCAGGAGGCTGTGCCTTGGCTGCCAAATTATCATCGAAATTGGGCAAAAATAGTGTTATCGTTGTAGATCCAGCTGATGTAGGTTATTTTATTTTAATAAAATATATAAATATCTTTCTAACTCCATTCCATTTCAATTTTTTTTAGAAACATTATTATCAACCCATGTTCACATTGATTGGTGGCGGTATGAAAACTGTGGAACAAAGTTACAAACCCATGGCTAAGGTATTGCCCAAAAATATTGAATGGATTAAGGAAAAGGCCGAACATTTCGATCCCAATAATAATACAGTAACAACATCTTCGGGTCACGAAATTAAATACGATATGTTGTTGCTGGCAGCTGGTCTGCAATTGAACTACAATAAGGTACACAAAAAAATTAATTTCCTTTTTCATTTACGATGTAAGAAATGATTTTTTTCTCCCTTCATCAGATTCCAGGTCTGTTGGATGCCTTGGCCATACCAAACGGCAAGGTGTGTTCGATTTATTCACCATTATATGTTGACAGAACCTATAATTGTTTGCGCAACATTGAAGAGGGTAATGCCATATTTACATTCCCCAGTTCACCCGTTAAATGTCCCGGTGCACCACAGAAAATTGTCTACATTTCTGAACATTATTTCCGTAAGGTTAGTATCGGTATAGAAAGACCACCAAGAGAAATTTAATAATTTTGATTTTTTTCTTTTCTATTTTCTAGATGAACAAACGTAATAAAATCAATGTTACCTACAACACAGCTCTTCCCGTTATCTTTGGTGTTAAACATTATGCCGATGCCTTGTGGCCAATTGTCAAGAAGCGTAACATTCAAGTTAATACTCGTCGCAACTTGATTGAAATTAAACCAGAAAGTGATATTGCCATTTTTGAAAATCTTGATAAACCTGAAGAGAAATTCGAAGAAAAGGTATGATGCATAAGCGGAGACTCTTTTATTTATTTTTTGTGGTTAAAGAGCAATCTTGTTATAGTAAAAAATTGCGTACGGTAATCCTACGCAATTTTTAAGAAATCGTATTAAAAAATCTTCATCTGATTAGTATTTTAGCAGAGAAAATGTATCCGTATCTGCGGATTTGTAACATTTGTTTAACACTAGATAGCCGAAGGCGGTCATTTTGACCGGTTTTCAATTTGAAGTACAAAAACAACTGTGTATATAATGACACAGCTTTTTAAAATTTGGTGACTTTTTTATAATAAACGTAATTCTATGTGGTACAAAAAGTCACAAAAATTAAAAAAGTGTCATTATAAGCACAGTTGTTTTTGTACTTGAAATTGAAAAACGGTCAAAATGACCGCCTTCGACAATCTAGTGTTAAGCAACCTAGATGAAATACAAATATGGGTCCCATCGGTCCATTGATTCTATTATCTCCCACCGAAACTATCAAAATTTTGAAAATGTATAAATAACACATTTATCGAATGGAGTGTTCAATTTCATCCTTGTACTTTGCACAGTGCAATATGTTTACTAAACCTAGATCAAATCCGAAAATGGTGCACTCCTGCTGGTACCTCCCCCACAAAGGGTAAACATTTTTAAAAAAAATGTAAATCCAATATATAGAGAATTTCATCCTAACTCTACACACCGTAATACTTTTACCAAGTCAAGATCAATACATCGATTCAACCCTTCTGGTACATCCTTGGCCTCAAAGGGCCAAAATTTGAAAAACTTGTATCCGGTTTTGATCTATTGTAATACTTTTACCAAACCTACATTTATACCGAAGCTGAGGTTTTTAAGTCAACTTCTCGTGACACCTTCCCATTACGAATGATTTTATAAATAGTAAAAAATCAACCCTCAGCTGCTAAAAACCCTTCAGCTGCAATTTTGCCTATAGGAAGAAATCACTCCTGAATTGTGCCCTCAGTAGGATAAAAAATGATCTTTTCGGATCATTGGTTACTAAGAAACATATCTCTATAGAAATAAATCTTATTAGGCCCTGAGATATATGGTTTATAAACAATTTGATTCTCTGTTACTACAATAACGGTGTATTTTTAATTTCGTCCTTAGTATTCAATGCTGCATGTCGTTCCACCAATGAGTACACCAACTGAATTGGCCAACTGCAAAGAATTGGTAAACGAAGCTGGCTTTGTCGATGTCAACAAGGACACAATGCAACATGTAAAATACTCAAATGTTTTTGCCATTGGTGATTGTTCGGCCTCACCCAACTCCAAGACAGCGGCTGCAGCAGGTATGTGTATAAATAAAATTAAAATTATAAATAAAAAAATCTGTAAAAATCTCAATTTTTACAGCTGCCCAATCACCCGTTGTCTTCAACAATATGATGGCTGTGATGAAGGGTAAAGATTGTAACAAAGTCTATGATGGTTATGCCTCTTGCCCATTGGTAACTGGTTATAAAACATGTATATTGGCTGAATTCGATTACAATTTGCAACCATTGGAAACATTCCCAGTTCCACAGAATAAGGAACGTTATAGTATGTTCTACATGAAAAAGGATATGATGCCGCTACTTTATTGGCATATTATGTTGAATGGCTATTGGAATGGTCCGGCATTGATGCGTAATATGTTGTCCGTCTTTAAATTTGGCAAAAATTAAACATCCCTTAAAGTATTCTAACAAATTAGCATATCACTGTAAACGTTTATTTATTAATGATTGTCCTCCCAAAAAAGTTTTTTTAAATAAAATTTAATGATATTTTTAAATTTGAAATTTAGTAATAGTAATATTTTTTATTCTTAAATATCTCTTTTCTGTTGTAGAAGTTTTGTATTGGTCTTGGGAAATGATTATGTATTGTCTACTTGTGGCTTCTTTATATATATTTTCAATACCAATCATTCTAGGAGTAATAACAATGTCAGTACAAAATTTCAAAGCTCTATCACAAATATTGCAACACTATCGCGCTTTAAAAAGACAGACGGACACGCATAAATCGACATAGAATTTTATTCTGATCAAGAATATATATTTTATGGGATCTCCGGTGAATATTTCGATGTGTTGCAAACGGAATGACAAATTTAATATACAGTCCATACATAAAAACATTTCGTCGGCGGCCTAAAAGTATGCAATAATTTTCGACGACAAATCATCGAAAGAGACTAGTAGTTTTCGTAAAGAAAAATCTTTAACAACTTTTCCCAAAACTGTTTTGCGAGAACATATACCATATATATATATATATATATATATATCACGAATTCCACAAAAAGGTGAAAAATCAATTCGTTAAGATAGATATGAAATTATATAGGAAATATTCTTTGCAATCCGGACAATTTATTTTTAGTTGAATTTTGAAAAATAACGGTAGTTTTTCTTTTCGTTGTACCATTTTCGCGTGGAGAGTAACTTGGGCATATTTTTATTAGTTTTAGAGTGTCATTTGTCGTAAGTGTGAACGCTGTTAGCTAAAACAATATCAATAATAAATATTAAATTCAAATAAAGTAATATCTTACTAAGAATTACATATATATAAACATATACATATACCAAGAGAATCCCGTGGTAAGTGCAGTTAAATAGTGTAAGAAAATATGTAACGCGTGCGTGACAAAATTAGCATATGTTTCTATACAGACTCTAATATGAGAATTTTTTTTTTTGATAATGCTGTTATGTGTGGATCTTGAGATGACAAATTCAAATAAAACAAAGTTTGTCTTCTATCTCCATCGAACAAATTTGTATCCGTCACGCACATGTTACATTCTTCCTCAATAAGTTGCTTTAGAACAGAATTTACAGGCAAAAATGTCGTCCATAACTGCATAATGATTTACCAAAGTTCTTGGGGCCACACAAAGCTATAATATCCTGACAACATGGTTGTGTGGGGTATAAGAACAAGCATTTTTAAAACATTCTGTTTTGAATTTAATTTTTTTAGTACATGTGTGTGTAACAGTGCGTTACGAGTGTAACATGTGCGTGACGGTGTTCAAAGTTAAAAAAGTATATCTTAGAAATTTTTTTCTCAAAAAAATTGAATGTCAATATAATCTTGAATAACCCATTATAGCTGTAAAAAAAATCCGCAATTTTATCTCCAGCCAATTCGCAGAAATTTCATATCGAAACTGATATCCAATTTTTAAAAGGAAAATTTTGTAGCGCGTGCGTACGCTAATTTTTTCTTAATATCTCCGACATTTACAAACATATTCATAAAAAAATTAGCAGGTATTGTAAAAGGCGTAAAACTATTTAATAAAAATTGCGAAAGAAATTTCGGAAACAAATTTTTCTTAACTAAACAAACGATTATATTTCGCACGCTGTAACAGTGCGTGACATGGAATTCGTGATATATCTTTAATTTTTGTATTAGAATGAAAATACAATATATTTATTTAATAAAAAATAAAAAAAACAAATTAAAAAAATTAGTCAAATTTGTTCATAATTAATTATACAAAACAAACAAAACATAAAATAATCTCAGTGTACACATAAAAAACTAAAATTGTCATACAAAATATTTTTGTAATCTTTCATTTTACTAATAAGAATCGTAAGTGCATTTATGTTCGTTGTGCAGCGTATATCGTTTCTATTCTTTCTTTGTTTTCTTTTTGTAAACACAGGCGGCCAAAAATACCGATGAACTTAAAAATGTTGATATCAGGAAATTCGATAACAACATCCAATCATGAGATTGCACGTAGACAGTATAGATGCGAGCTGCAAGAAAGAAAAAACAAAAAAAACATAATTATGAGATTTTCGGATGTGTATGACAAAACTATAGGCATCTGTATGTAATTACTTACTCATATTGGTGAAGGCTGATAAGGCCCATGTGGTGCGGCTAACTGAGCTGGCATCTTTTGAACGCAAGATAGCGATCAATTGTAATACTTTACTTGTTGCTCCGATTGGTGTACAGAAAGGCTAAAAGGTTAAATTTTTGTTTTAATTAAAATACTGTGTATGGTGGATTTTTTGTACTGCTTAGATTAGAAGTCTGTCATAAAAATTCACAAAAAATAAAAAAAAGATTTTAAAAATATTACATGAATTTAAAACACGTATGACTTTTTTCTTCATTCACTTAACAAATTAAATATATGTACATATTTTTTTTCAAAATCCTCTATGAAATAATTTTCTTGACAGACTGTACCGAGAACGTGTGTTTATTTATGCATGGGTATGTGCAAATTTAAATTATACTTACACGAATTGTTTAAATGATTGTGAAATGAAAAAGGCATGCAATTTCTATATTGTAATGAGTTATGTTAGAGAGCAAAATTCAGTAAAGGTTAGACAATTTTCACTGTTTAATATTTTTTTACGACAAACATTCATACACACAACAAGCAACACTTAGATATTTCAATAGTTGAGGTCATCATTTGTACACACAAGAAGTTCTCTAGAAATTTTAATATGGCGAAGTAACATTAAATCATATTCCAATGTTTTAATATTTAATACTTAATATCGACATGTACCCTCCCAAAAATAATTTGGATTTTAATAATGCCCATCTGTGATGTGGGTACCAGGAGAAATGCCCTAAAGAAATCAAATACTTCATTCAATTTAAAAATATTTAAATTTTATGGGGGAGTTACCAGAAGCAGTACATCGATGGAAACCATTTTTATACCCTCCACCATAGTATGGGGGGTATATTAATTTTGCCATTCCGTTTGTAACTCATCGAAATATTCACTTCCGACCCTATAAAGTAGATATATTCTTGATCAGGGTAAAATTCTAAGACGATCTAGTCATGTCCATCCGTCTGTCCGTCCGTCCGTCTGTTGTAATCACGATATCTTCTGAAGGAACTGAGATAGGGTGCTGAAATTTTGCATAGGGTTGCCTTTTGTCTGCAGGCAGGTCAAGTTCGAAGATGGGATATATCGGCCCACGTTTAGGCATAGCTCCCATATAAGGGTACCCCCCAATTTTCGGTATTTTGGGGTTCTTGACCGTGTTTTTCAACCGAATTCGCTGAAATTTGGTACGTTGGGTTCTTATTGGGTACTAAATGTCTCCACAAAAAAATATGAGTATAGGTTCACTTTTTCTGGTAGCCCCCATATAACGGCACCTCCTAATTTTCAGTATTTTGGGGGTTTTGATAGTATTTTTACATCGAATTGACTGTAATTTAGTATTTTGAGTTCTTAATAGGTACCAAATTTCTCCACAAAAAAATTATGAATATAGGTCCATTTTTTCGGGTAGCCCCCATATAAGGGTACCCCCAATATTCGGTATTTTAGGGTTCTTGAGCGCGTTATTCAACCCAATTCGCTGCAATTTGGTATTTTGTAGTCGTATATAGTAACAAATCTCCCTACCAAAAATTATGTATATTCGCCCCCTTTTTGGGGTAGTCCCCATATAACCCCCTTTTTTATATTAAAGTAGTTATCTAATTTCTTTCGCGTTTTGGGTTTGGTTCTAAGAGTCTGTCGTAATAATTTAACCTGCGGATGATATCGAGATAAAGCTAGAACGTAAGGTTCTATACTGAACTATACATGAACTATAACCCGCATTTAGGCCTAGCCCCTGTGTGGGAGGTATCAAAAGGAATGGACCGATAGAACACATCTTCGAACCTGAACTAAGTTTGGAAGAAATAATAAGATAGGCACAGGTTGGATGAAATCTAAATTTTCTGGGACATGGTTCACATTATGGTTTACATAATCGCGTTGTAGAAATATCGGTATAGGTCCACTTTTTGGTACTTTCCCTACATTTCCAATTCAAATACCTGTCAGTATATCTATGGTGGAGGGTATCCAAAGTTCGGCCCGGCCGAACTTAGCGCTTTTTCACTTGTTGTAGTTAATCTTGACTTGACAAAAATATTACGATGTACAAAATGTTGATCAAAGTGGTCAGTCAATTCCTTTGATATTGGATTTGTAATTATTAAAAATTTTGAGCTGTACCAGAAGCAGTAGATGTTCGTAGATCCCATCTTCAGACGTTATCTAGGCTTGATAAAACTATTAATCAATGGATCAACTCAGACACTCCAACCGCTTGTTGTGAAATTTATTAATTTTTAAAATTCTAAACATTTGTTGGAGGATTTAACCGATAGGCCTCATCTTGGTTTTGTTCAAATTTAATACATTTTGATCATTTTAGGAGTAAGCAGATATTCTCTATTTTCAAACTTAATTGAAGGGCACCCCACCCACCGTTCTCGATTTCAAATTTAGACAATTCAATTAGAATTAAGATTTTAGAATTAAAATTCAGGTTATGTTTTGCAATGTAATATATTATGTTTGGCAATGAAGGCTTTGTATTACAATATGATTAAATAAATAAATAAATTTTCAACCGGCTGGCAAATGAGCATACTTGTAACTTTGCATACATGTATTTGTAGATCTCAAGAAGAAGAAAATAAATTGACAAACTGTTGTTGTGGTCTTATTTATTTATTTTTTGTAATCTCTCGGATGTTCCAATCACTGGAACATCCGAATCTCAAAACTCCAATGCAATTAGAAAGACTACATATCTTACTCTGTTGTGAACTAGAATTATTGACTACGGACAAGGTCTGTGACGTTTACATTAAAAAGAAAATAGGGGACAGAAACCTTGTTACCCGATTTCGATGCGAATTCTTTTCTAGGAGCGGTGACAGATTCCTTCTCTACATTTGTTTCGGTAAGTGGTTAAGATGGTTGTGCTCTTGGAACTGATGGTTCGAAAAGGACATCAATGTCTCCTAGCAAAGCAAATCTATTTTGAGAGATGACTTGATTTGATCCTGATGGCATTTCCGATGCTTGACATATTCTTGGTCGTTTGGATTGAGAACGATTTAAACATTTTCAATTGATTCCTCTGGAAAAGGGCCTCCTGACTATTTTTGGTTGAGTCCCATAGATTTTCTTGTATCTCCAGCTTTGTCAGATGGTACATTTTCAGATAAAACGCGTTCTTACGCCGACTTCGGATTTTTCAAATTGTTTATTATTGGCAAACACAAAAAATACGTCTGTTCAGTTTGAAAATAAAATTGAGAATCCGAAAATTAACAAAATGGGGAAATAGGAAAATTATTTTTTGGAACATCGCCAATTTTCGAACAAAAACCAATGAAAAATAAGGAATTTTATCGATCGACTAAATGTATCCTAGTTCATATCAAAGCTATTTAAGTCCAGAATAACATGTTAACATTTGGAACGAATTGGATTATTGGTTTTTGAGAAAATCTTGTTTAAATTCTGAGAATCACTCATGCTGTAGCTTAATGCTGGCACAAGAATATATGAGTTTTTCACTTGAAATTATAAAGGGACCTTCTTGAGAACCTATAGACTCAAATTAAATCAAAATAAAAAAAAATATTTTTTTGAAACCGAATGTGGATAGACGAACAGTGGAAAATCTTATCAAAATTGTCTAAAACGGATCCAATGAAACTTAAGTCCTAAAACTAAAAAATTTTATATGATTTCAAAAATATATAAAAATAGTAAAATAGATTTTACAATCTAAAACGGATCCAATGAAACTTAAGTCCTAAAACTAAAAATTTTTATATGATTTCAAAAATATATAAAAATAGTAAAATAAATTTTACAACGTAAGGGTATAAAATTTGATACCAGTTCGACTGCTTTCGTATAACAAAACAATCAATTATAAATAAAATTAATTTAATAGATATATAGATAATTTTATACGTATGGATAGTAAATTTAATTATGTTAAGAACGAATTAAATAAAATTACAAATGTTGAAACTTGAGTCCTAAAACTAAAAATGTTTATATGATTTCAAAAATATATAGGGGAGAGGGGGGCACCTTTGAACACTTTTTGCTTTCAAGCCTTATAAAATTTTTTATTTTATCATTTTTGGTTTCTTATAAATTTTAACTAATAGGTATATATGTAACCTTTAAAATAAATATACATATGATATACTATAAGCTTGATAAATATATTTTATTACTATTTTAATGGACGAACTCAAAGTGTTCAAAACTGCCCCCCCCCCTGAATATGAAATGTCTTTTATTTGATGTCTTAAGGGCCGGCTTCTTGTGTGTTTTTCTTTTTTTTTTTTTTTTTTTTTTTGATACCAGTTCGAGATTTGATACCAGTTCGACTGCTTTCGTATAACAAAACAATCAATTATAAATAGAATTAATTTAATAGATATATAGATAATTTTATACGTATGGATAGTAAAATTAATTATGTTAAGAACGAATTAAATAAAATTACAAATTTTAATGTAAATCACATTAACTATCAATATTGTAATCTATATAATTTTTAGCCTAATCACAATCAAAACATTTTGTCAAAATTGTACAAATTATCTCGTTTAGTTGACCCGTTGTTGTGTTTTTTATTTAATGTGATTTTTGCCTAATTAATTATATTTTAATTTCCGCATTATTCATTCATACACACACAAACCATTTCTTTTTATACTCCACATAACAAAAAATATACTAATTACAAACTTTATCAAACAACAACTGAGTAGTCAGTTTTCTATTGAAAAACTTGCGAACGGTTGTGTCCACATTTAAAAATAAATACAACAAAATCATAGAAACAACAACAAATAAAACGTTATCAATTTTTAGGTGACAGTGAAAATCACAACCACAATATGATTAATTGAATTTCATAGTTCATTGCCAATATGTAAGATGGTAGGTAATTGATGAAAAAAAAAACACAAAAATAAAATTGAAAAAAAGACAACCAAAAAAAAATGTTCACTTACCACTAAAAATTGTAGAATAACCAATGGGAATAGCCTCAAATAGATAAGTACAGCTATGATGACATATAAAACAGCAACAATTTTTGTTCGAAGTCCAAGTAGATTTTGATATTTAAATGCAAAATATATGAGAACATATTCTTGCAATAATAAAATGGGATATTCCATGTAGGATAAAAACTCATAACGATTTGTATAGTTGTAGGACATCATAACTGTATAGCTAAAAAGTTCTAGACATAATCCAAGAATACTAATGCCTGGAAAAAATGAAATTTCATTATTGGCATTTTTATTGTTAAATTAATTAGCATGTTTCAAAGGAATTTTAAGGGTTTAAATGAAAGATATTTTGCGGATGAATATGTTGAAAATTTAACAGATTTTAAATAATATAATCCATAATTGTGTTAAAGTAGGTGTTCGGAGTATTCCCTTAGTTGTAATGAGAAAAACTATTTAGTTTTTTAGACAAATCAATCCTCAAAATATTAAATCCTTATTAGAGCTTACCTTTCGAAGATTTATTTTCACGTATTGTATTGATTTGAGGTACTTTGATAAACAGGCATGATGACACCGTGATTAAACTCAATAAATCGGCAATTACTAAAACAATTCCTCTATCTAAATATTTTAGAACCGCTTCGTGAATATCATCGAAAGAATCCATTTTTATCTGCAAATTGTAGTAAATAAAATTTAAAACATTTTTGTTTCAATAAGTGTAACTGAATCAATTTGAGTTGATGATATCGTTAAAGCACAACAACGACAACAAAATATAATATTTAAAATTACTTACCTAATAAAAATGGCAATAAATAATGGCACAAAATTGATTCACAGTTTCACCCCTTTGTCGTGTTGTTTAACCTCACCAGCTGCAGCAGCACCGTAGATATTAACAGGTGCCTTGTATAGAATTTGTTTATTAGATTTATTAGCAATTAATTATACGCATCCTAGTACATATATTCACAATATATACATATATATATATACACTTAATATAGCATACGGTCTATACATATAAATAAACTCTAACTAAATCAACACAACACATAAACTAACTAGCCCGCCGTCGTGCAGAGTTTGTAGCCGTGTTAATTTTGACGGCGACCACTAGTTTTTGATCATATGGTCGAGTAGGCGACAACAAATCGAATTTGTACTAATCAGTGTATTTATTATAAAGTAGATGCCACTGTAATTTATTACAAGAAACATGAGATTTCATATGTCACAAATGAAACTATTTTTACACAGCATAATTCAAAATTTAAAAAAAAATCAGAGATTTTTTCATAATTATTTTTGGTTTTTTGTTCCATGTTTGGTTTGGATCATTATTGAATAGGAAATGTTCATACCCAAATTGTCAATATTGGTACACTTTTTAGGATAGTTCGTATATAAAGGTACCTCCAAACTTCTGTAGCTTATAGTTTTATGAAAGTTTTTCAACAAAATTGGATTTTAGTGGATGTTTTGTGTTCTCCTTGGGTAGCAAAAATTCCAACCAAAAAGTATCAATATTGGTCCACAATTAAGGGTGGTATCCATGGTACAATTATTCAAGGTAGCCCATAGCAACCGTTAAATTACAATTTTTTCATACTGTGGCTTGTTATGCCAAAGTCATATACAAAATTTGTGACTGTGTGTGTAATGTATTGAAAAATATATTCGAAAATCGATTTGTTTGAAGATGAGTTTTACACCATTTATAAGAAGAAATATATTCCCAGCTTGTTTTTGGTAAAATGTTAAAAATATGTCAAATAAACAGAATGATTTGTTGCATTTCTTTTCATTTATTAATGTCAGAATAAATGAAAAGAAATGCAACAAATAATTCTGTTTATTTGACATATTTTTAACATTGTACCAAAAATCCATAAGGTAGAACATGGTATAATAATAGAAGGTAACAGCAAGTGTTGTTGTACAAAAAACGATACAACAACCACATGGAAATTTGTTGTTGTAAGTTCTACTAGTGTCAACTCATTTGACAGAAAAATGTAAACAAACAAACAAATTATCATCAAATTATTTTTATTTTGAAAATGAAATATTTTCGAATCCTCAAAATAAAAATTGAAAAACATGAATGAAAATCTATCAAATTTATATTTCTATCTATTCCACATCTTTCCTATAATTGAGCCATTGCCATATATATGTGTAACACATATGAAAATGCTGGGAATAGCGAGTTATTCCTTGAAGAAAGATTTGCTTCCTCAAACTTTCCCAGCAGGAAGATTGAGTACATTGAAAACAGGAGCACATTTAATACAGAACAATTTTAAATTGTATGCGTTCCCAATTTTCCTGTTGGGTGATTTTTAAAAACATAATTTGTCAAATTCATATTGACACTAGTATTTTTATTTATTTACGTTGGAATCAAATCAGCTGGGATTTGCTGTTACCTTTTATAATTGTACCATGAAGGTAGAAGTGTATTTTCTCCTTTCAGACAAAAGCTATCCTACCACGCATAATTGTACCATGGTAGTATCCATATAACGGTACCACCTATATATTGGAATTTTCAACCAATTGACTCATGGTATAATAATAGAAGGTAACAGCAAGCGTTTTTGTACAACAAACGATACAACAACCACATGAAAATTTGTTGTAAGTTATATTAGTGTCAACGTCATTTGTCAGAAAAATATAAACAAACTAACAAATTATATTTATTTTGAAAATGAAATATTTTCGAATCCTCAAAATAAAATTTGAAAACCATGAATGAAATTGCCACTTATATTCGTAACACACTTGAAAATGCAGGGAATAGCGAGTTATTCCATGAAGAAAGATTTGCTTGCTTAATCATTCCCAGCAGGCAGATTGAGAAAATTGAATATGGGAGCACATTTAATAAAGAACAATTTCAAATTGTTGCATTCCCATTTTTCCTGTTGGGTGATTTTTAAAAACATAATTTGTCAAATTCGTATTGACACTAGTATTACGTTGGAATCAAATCAGCTGGGATTTGCTGTTACCTTTTATAATTAGGTGTGTATGGTTACTTTTCCAGTAACATTTATTCAATATGTTCTAGTTCGGAGAGTAAGCCTTTTTACTCTCTTTTGCGATAATACTGAGAAAAGTAAACAGACAACATTTAGTAAGATTTAGCAAATAAACAGCTGATTCAAGAGAACATTTGATTTGCGCCAAAATAAACAACAAACAAAGGACACACAATTATTTGTATTGCATTTAATATTAAAAATAAAATGAACAATAAAAGAAAAACAGATTTGGAATTTTCCCCGGGAACATTTAAGCTTCCTGCATCAATACATTGCCCTCTATCTGGAACTTGCCTAAAAACATATAGTTAGTTTCTAATTTAATGAAACTTTGCATTACTTACGAATTTTCTTCCTTTTCTGTAATTTTTATACAACTTAACTTCAAATTGAACTTTGCAAATTAAAAACATTATTTTGCAAAATCTTACTGAATAAAATTTTTTTCAGTAAACTCCAGTAAGTTTGTTGTTGTTGAACTGTCAAACTTGCTCTCTCACTTGACTCTCTTTTACTGGATTTTTAGGTAAACAGACAACATTTAGTAACATTTGGTAACAATTGTTACCATGGTACAATAACAAGAGGTAGATTAACTTCGAAGGAAATAGAAAAATACAGCTCTGTAGATGTGTCTTATAACGTCAAAATAATTTTAGATGACAACTTGAAAATTAATTTGTTTATTTTTGTTTTGATATTTGACGTTTCTACACTACAAAATAAGTGAAGGATAAGTGGCACAAATTTGCGTTGTAACATTGAACAAACAATTATCAATATAAATCCAATATTTTTGTATACCCCTCATGTAATGGTGCAGCTTTATGCGATGCATTTAAAATATATTGAGCAACATTCGCAGTCCATGTCCCATCCTGAATTCCTTTAAAAATATATTCAAATTCTGTTATATCTTCTAAAACGCACACCTCCTGTTTATGCATCATTTTCACATATTAAATGCTAAGACAGAATTGATGCGATGAATAACCCGTCGCATTGTGTTATAGATAATACAACATCACGGTGCAGACAACATCTGCGCCGAATGTTCTGCGTTGCAGTACATTCGGCGATGATTGCGCCGTATAAAATATTTTCCTTACTATTCATGAGACCGAACATGATTCAAGTAAATTTTTGAAGCTGTAATGCGTTGTGATTACATTAATGGTCTGCTCCCGTACTGCAGAACGTACAATTTTTTACTACGATAACAAAGTAAATTAGTTGATTCTTGCAGTACTGGAATGTACCATAAATATCAGTGAACAATGTTTCGTTATGTATTAAAGATTTCCGTTTTATTCCAATTATAGTCATATTGTTAATAATAGTATATATGCATAGATATTTCGAATATCACATGATATTTTTGGATTGCATCTCACAAATCTGAGAGCCAAATTACAGTGAGTGTTTAGGTTTTTTATGCGAAAATAAATACGACATTTAAAGAAGAACGATTTAATTTTGTCAAGCAGATCTACATATGTACTCATTTTGGTCATCCGGCTCTGCAGTTGTTCGTTATGGCTTATTTGGCTCCCATTCACATTTTCAAAAATCAGCTTTAGCTGTTTAATTTTTTTGAGGAATTGCTTTGATGGCTTTTTCAGTGACCCTTTCGAAATCTGGTCCACCCGAGTGAATGAGTTAATTAATTTCTTCACACTCCAATTCATTGAAATTATAGTTTTCATCTTGATCATTTTCTCCACCGGTTGTTTTGCGATTACAAATGGGATAGCGCTTGGCATCAACGAATATCTTGTATTTCGCAATATGATGTCCCTTTCCAAAAAGTTGTCCTCGCAAATGCGGTCATTTAATCTAAACGTTACTGCGCACGCTTTTGACACTTTAACCTTCTTTTGATAACTTTTGGTACTTTAAAAAAGTGTCCGTTTTGAAAGAAAAAGATTGTAATCAGCAGGTACCATTAACCTACCTCTTGTTATTGTACCATGATTGTTACCAAATACCGAGTAAACAGACAGAGCTATTGTACCATGCAATTGACTATTAATTATTAAGATTATTATTCATATGATCTTCATAAAATCTTCTCACAGTTATGATGGCGAAGGATACTCCTTTTCTTTTAGTTGCGTCTTTGTGGATGACGTTTTTCGTGCTTTAGGTGCTGTTAAGTCCAATGAATTGGTTCTGACGGGATTCCAGTTAAAATTTAATTTTTTTTCCTTATTTATCTTTTTACCAACAACTTACCCTTCTTGTTGGAAGCTTGCAAAGGTTGTGCCTATTTCGAAAAGTAAGGCCCCTTTTTGTATGGACAACTTGCGTCCATAGAGTTAACTATTCTTTTTTATGAAAAAGCTGAAATATAATTTTATGTTCAATGACACTGCTGTAAGTTGATTTGTTCGTATATATCGCAACGCTCTCAGTTTGTTCAATTTAATGGAAGTTTTTCTGTTGAAAGGATGATAAATAGTGGTGTTCCCCAGGGTTCTGTTTTGGGTCCCCTATTTTTTATATTTTATATGAATGACTTCCGCGGATGAATGAAATGCCCCAGCTCAAAAGGCATATAAAAATGAGCCTACTGATGGTTCCCGTAGAAGGGGAAGGCCACGAATTAGATGG